GACTCTGCAGCTAATTTGCTGCTTGCCCTTGAACAAGACAATGAATTTTGCTGAACTTGCTGATTTCCAGAACGTGGTCTTGAGGCCTTAGAGTAGTTCTCAAACCAGGTGGATTAGAATCACCTGGGAAGTGTTTCAAAAATGCAGATTCCTAGGCCTCTCCCCAGTTGTTCTGATTCAGTAGGTCTGTAGAGAGCCTGGGAATCTGTATGTTTGGACCTCTCAGGTGTTTCCTTGGCCCAGAGTTAAAATATGAAGCCCTTTCTTAATGGAGCGTCTGACACATTCCTACATGCATGTAGAGGCTGGTGCGACCTGGCAGTGATATTGGGAGCATCAAATGAGATGATGTATAAAACAGCTGACCAGGGGCTACTTAACAAGTTGGTAGCTGCATATATCATTTTTCTAAATGGCAGGAGAAGTAGAACATATGATAACATCTATGTGTGTAGGTTTTAGTATCATTTATGCTCAGCTCTGCCACTTCCTAGCTATGAAATTTTGGGTAAGTTACTGAGGCTCCCTGCTGTGAAAATTAAATTGCAATGCATGAGATTTGCTTTGTGTGGAACTTGGTATACCCTATAAATGTGCAAACGTTCACTCTAATTCAAAGTGTGTCCAGGGGCTGGTCCCGTGGCCGAGTGGTTAAGTTCGCGCGCTCCGTTGCAGGCGGCCCAGTGTTTCGTTGGTTTGAATCCTGGGCGCGGACATGGCACTGCTTATCAAACCACGCTGAGGCAGCGTCCCACATGCCACAACTGGAAGAACCCACAACGAAGAATATACAACTATGTACCGGGGGGCTTTGGGGAGAAAAAGGAAAAAAATAAAATCTTAAAAAAAATAAAAAAAATAAAGTGTGTCCAAGGCGCCTGACCCCTTAGCTGGTTAGGGCCACCTCCTTTGAAGGATGCTTGGCTAATGCCCTCCCTGTGTTCCAGGTGATCGTTTTCAACCACCCCAGCAGCAATGCAGCTGGCTACTGGCCAGTTCTGGACTGCCACACTGCCCACATTGCCTGCAAGTTTGCAGAACTGAGAGAGGTCGACCAGCCCTCGGGCAAGAAGCTGGAAGACACCCCCAAAGCCCTGAAGTCTGGGGACTCAGCCATCGTCCAGATGATCCCAGGCAAGCCCATGTGCATAGAAAGCTCAGAGTTCCCGCCCCTCAGTGAGCCCAAGAGTACCTGGCCACCGGGGCCGCCCCTTTCTACTCCTGGCTCCAGAGAGCTGGTTGGCCAATGTGTGTCACCCAAGCCAGGTAGCAGAACTTGGTCTAAAGAATCTGAGTGCCAAGTTAGAATGGCCCAGAAAGGGAAAGCCTAGTGTCACAGAGCAAGGCAGGGGCCACTTTAGAGGCTTGCTACTCAAAGTGTGGTCTGTAGACCAGGCATCCCCTGGGAGTTGGTTAGGAATGCAGAATCTCAGGCTCCCTCCAGACCTGCTGAACTCAAATCTGCATTTTAACAAGATCCCCAGGTAACTGGCATGCCCATCAGTTTGAGAAGCACTGATCTGAAGGAGGCGAATAGAGTAGAGGTCAGTAGGGACTTTCTTTGTTCTTCCTACACGCTACTGTGGTGGTTTTCAAACCTGGTGAATTGTCAGAACCTTGATGGAGCCTATTAAACCCAGAGGCTCAGACCCTGGCAGACTTACCTGGTCAAGGCTGCAGCCTAGAAGGCTGTTTCTTAGATTCCCCAGGTATGGTATGCATGGCTTGGCTTGAACCATTAATCTAGAATGTTCTGAACTCAAATATATAGGGAATAGGCACTTATGTGAAGTGCTGGGTTCTGGGCTAGATATTTACGAATAAAGAAGTCCCTGCCCTCAGGGTCTCCCCAGTTAAGGGGGAAGGAGATAAATTTCAAAAGCCTAATTTCAGGGGTAGGCCAAAGAGGCTGCGACATGAATCTTGCAAGGCTGGGTTAGTTCCCCCTACCTCTGCCAAAACTACCATGAGGCTTGAAGCCAGGTGCCAAAGCCCTTCCCTCCACAATTTGAAGTCAAGGGAGCACTCAAGAACCCCCAGAAGCAACCGTCAGGTTCACGGTTGAAGGTAAATGAGATCGATCCCATGGGTTGTAACGGGCACAGAGAATGTGATAGTCGCCTGGAGGCTGGGAGGATTAGGACGGCAGGGTGGTGGGTGCACTGGAAGCAAAGCTTTCTCTGACTTTTATTTATGGAAGCAGGACAGTCAGATGGCTAAGAATATAAGCACTAAAGCGTGAGACTTCTGGGTTTTCAACCATTAAAGCCAGGTACCGTCAATTTCTCTGCCTCAGTCGTCTTATCTGTAAAAGACATGATAATAATGAGAGGTACTGGGAGTCATTGGGAGAATTAATCAGCCTGCAAGTACAACTCAAAGTATCACTTACATGGCTCACTTGACCTCCTGTGCAAGTGCCCCAGAGCTTGTGCCCTGACCGAGTTACCCACTTGTTTCTCCGTGCCATTTGTCCTAGGTCACTTTGCTGTGAGTGACATGAGGCAGACAGTGACCGTCGGGGTCATCAAAGCTGTGAAGAAAAAAGCAGCGCCTGGTGGCAGAGTCACGAAGTCTGCCATGAAAGGGGCCAAGAAGTGAGGGGGGACAGCTGCTTTGGGCCCTGCAAGCCTCGGGCAGCCCCAGCGGAGCCACACCTGGGAGAGAGCCATCAAGGAGAAGCCTTGCGCTTGATCTTCTCTTGCATGGACTGCCCTAAACCTGCCCCTGCTCGCGCGTGTCTCTCTTTGCGGATGAGTTCGAGGCCTGGGAATAAAGCACAGCACGTCTTTTTTCCTCTGCCTCTACTGACCTTGATGTCTGGAGCCAGGAGGGAGCAGCTGGGGCGCTGGGTCTCATTCTGCCCCTCCACCTTCCTTCTGGGGGCCTGACGGGTGCAAGAAGCAGAGAGCCGGGCTCACGGGGAGGAAAAGGTGTGAAGGGGGAAGCGGGGGCAGCTTTGGCCCTGGTCTGGTTCATCAGCTGCTAGAACAGGACTGGACCCGGATGTTGGACCGCCTCACCTAAATAGTGTCTGTGAAAGTCACTAAACTTTTGTGAGCCTTGCCTGCTCATCTGTAAAATGGGAAAACAATGGTAGGTGCCTCCACAGAGATGTTGAAGGTTAAGTGAGCCAGTACCTGCTGGGCACAATAAATGAGCTTTAATTAGCCACTCTCATTAACACAGCGTGGGCGCCGGAACCAAGTGACAGCTATTAGGAGGAAGTTCTGTTGGATAAAAGTTGGAGGAGGGAAGGGACTGAGACCCAGCTTTGGAGGGTGAGCCCCGTGGTATATCTTCATAGATCCATGTTTCCCTCAGGGGACCTTCTTAACTTCACTATCACAATTTCAGAGCTAAAGAGACGTTGCAAGAAGTCCCATGTATCTTTCACTCAGATTCTCTAAATCTTAAATTTACCACATTTGCTTTATCCTTTTCTCTCTAAATATACATT